CAAAGCTTCAGGACTTCAGACCAGCTCTTTGTCTGTCACGGAGGCCGGCAGAAGGGGAATGCCGTCTCTAAGCAGAGGATGGGCCCACTGGATAGTGGATGCCATCAATCTGGCTTATCAGGCACAGGGTGTGCGCTGCCCGTTCAGGTTGCGAGCTCACTCAACTAGAAGTGTTGCATTCTCCTGGGCGCTGGCTCGTGGCGCCTCGCTGGCAGATATCTGTAGAGCTGCGGGCTGGGCGACCCCTACATGTCCGCTAGACTCTATAGCCTTCGTGTGGAGCCGGTATCCTCCTGTGTTCTCACCTCAAACGGGTAGAAGCACTGAGAGGCCCCGACTTCGGGTCGGCTTGCTAAAACCACTCCAGAGAGTCCATATAGTAGACCAATGTGCATTGGCTCGTTTAGTTTACACTCGAAGTAGATTGGTCTCTCTAAGCGAGATCCCAATTCGTCGGTCATCCGACGTGACGTCTCCGTTCCCTCCTTCAGGGAACGAGGGTTACCATACGTAACCGAGACGTTAACTACATTCTGTTAACTTAAACTAACAATGAAATACTTCTATAGTATTTATTAATCTTAGTTAATGTTCATTTCAACATTTTCTAATACACTGTTTAAAGTTAAAAATTAAAATTACATTTTATAATATTAACATTATTGTTAAGTAATATTACTGTTAATATTATTTAAAGACCTGAGCTAACATGACCTGATAATATTTTATTAAGATTAACCAAGATGAATAAAAACTGTAACAAATGTAATGCTCATTGTTAGTTTAAGTCAGTTAATGCATTAACTAACTTTAATTAATAGAACGTTATTGTAAAATGTTAATGAAATTGTTTCTTTTAATCATCAAGAAAAGATGAATATGCACCAAAACCAGGTTTGATTGGGTGCACAACCTTCGATGTCAACAATAAAGGACAAAAGATTTAAAAGATTTACATTAAAAAAAAAAGATGATTTACATTAATTTATAAAAGCTATCTTAAAGTAAAGTTTAAAAAAACAACAGGTAAATAAATAGTACAAACGTTTTTAACAAATATCTAAGAACTTTTCACATTTTGTAAAGATTTCTCCTTTTCATCTTCTCGAACATCTTTACAGTACTTTTCACTGACTGCTGCAAAAGAGCATGTCAAAACCCTTTTTTTCTGGGTTTGTGTCTGGGTTAGAGGTGAGTGTGGGTGAGGGTGAGGGTGAGGGTGAGGGGCTTGTGGTTATAAGCAAGTTCATTTTATGTAGCCCAGTACAGGAAACAACTAAAAACACATTAAAAATGCAAACTCATACAAAAGACCCAAGAAGCTTCTTCTATAGCAAGTCGAACACTTTCAAATTAAATCTCTTTAATTACCCCCGTATTTTACATAATAAAAGGTATTCAAGCCAATCTCAGATTTATTAACTACTGAATTAGTATTAACATTAGCTATTTTAAATGAGAGAAGTATTTGCACCAAAACAACAGTTTGATTGGGTGCACAACCTTCAATGTCAACAATAAAAGACATGGGGTGATAACGTTGAAAAACTGTTTGATAATTGTATTAAAAGTATTTCATATTTGCATAGTAATGTGTAAAAACAGATAGATAGATAGATAGATGTTTTCGAATACATTTTTAAAAGAAATCTCTTTTTCATTATACTGCATCATACATTCTTACTGACTAGCCGATCTTTCAAGGACTGGTGCAAGAGAGCTTGTTAAAAGAGGACGACTATTACCTGCTTCTTTTGTGTTTGTGTCTTGTTTAGAAGTACAAATCTGCAACTACAAATTTATACAAAAGCAAAGACCTTTCTTCTAGGAAGCTGTGCACTTTCAAACTAAAGCTATTTTGATGAAGCCGATGTCTTGCATGATAAAAGGTAGAAGTATTGAAGCCAATCTCAAATTTATTAACTATTGCATTAGTATTACCATATTAAATGACAGATGAATTTGCACCAAAACATCAACAACACCACAAAAAATGTCAACAATACGGGCAGCAAATGTTGAAAAAGTTACCAAATAAAATTAATTTATAAAATCTCTAAATTATTAATCTTCAAATTTTTTAAGTCAGTTAAAATACAAGTAGAATATATGTTTCACATGATGGTTTTCCATTTTTTTTCTTTTTTTTTTTTTTTAGTTTATAACACAAACTTTAGTTAATAATCTTACAAGTGTCCTGCCACAGAACCTTTTAAAAAATCACATTAGGCCTTTAGTGAAACAATCTTTTGCAATATTTCACAAGCTCTGGATTCACTATCATGCTTTACAAAGCGACGACTTATCATTTTGGCCATCTAAAGAGAATTCCCCTTCTTCTTGGTAAACAAGGACAACACAGAAACTGGACCAAAATATGAATGAATATACACCACGACAATGCCTTTCTAAGTTATGTCAACAATTAATTAAAAAAACTTGCAAAATGCCACATAATACAAAATACAACAGTTAAAAACATTTATATGTATATAATAATATAT